GGGGACGGCTTGGATGCATCATCTATCGAAAGCATTAACATATAGTGGAATTTGTAATTCTAATTTAATTGGAAGAAGATCCAATAAAGTCTCCAGAGCTTTACTGGAAGTCGAGGGCAGAACACGCGTGATTACCATGGTTGCCGCTCTTTGTACCCGGTCCAATGCGCCTCTGTAAGTGGACTTTTCTAGAGCCGGCCACCATACGGTTCTAGAGTAGGGGAAAGGACCACTCCTCCTTTGGGGGTACTTCCCGTTGCGTGGCTGTTTATGGACGCGCCTCCCAACTCTGATGAGATAGTTCTTCTTTCAAGGAGAAGCCTTATGAGCCCTTAAACGGCCTCTGGAAGAATATTGTTAAAGGCGTTCTCTATTTCAAGAAAGATACTCGAAGTAAATTCCTTAAAGGCCAGTCGTTTTTCAATTTTGGACACAATTTCGTGTAGCGCAATACGCATATTGACACTCCGTCACGTCCTCAGATGAAATGCGCTGTATGATATGGGCGCCAAGAAGTTTTTCTAGAGTTCTAAGAAGAAAGGACGCTTGGCTTATTGGCCTGAAGTCATTGGATTTGACATGAGAGACCATTCCATCTGTCGGTATGAAGATTACCCTAGCCTTGGTCCATTCTCTAGGAATGTGGCAAAGGCTAAGACATACCTTGAAGATGCCAGCAAGCAGTGGGCATAAAAGGTCGACCGCCTGCCATTCGAATAGGATGGCCGCCTCCCTGGGCTGTTTTAAAATCTTCAGCAGTGTGATCATATCAATTCGTCTGTGGCTGAGTGGTTAGAGGTGAGTACTACCACTTCGTTGGACCTGGGTTGGATCCCTGTGCCCAGCAAAATCAAAAAAAAAAATGTGTTTTTCCAACAGCGGTCGCCCCTCGCCAGGCAATGGCTACCAAGCCGGAAGTAAAGCTGAAGTAAACTCGTCAGAGCTTGCATGAATTCATACATAGGTACACACACATACATACGTGCATATATAGGGCACGGCAAAACAAAATTGTAAAAAGCTCATTACAGCATAATTAACATAATTCGAATGGCCTTCACACAATTTCCAAACACCGTGACACATCAGCCTGTTGCGTAAAGCAATATTCATTTCCCCACCCGCGTAGCCAACAATCCACCCATCATATACATATACATATGTAATACAAATAACGCACTGACTACGAACGATCAGCGCTAAACGAACGATGGGGGGCAGCACAATCACCTGCGAGTATCTATATACAATTATTCAATGGAACAGGCACACTAGCACTTGCTGTAGTTATAACTACCTACATATATGTATGCGTACATACGTACCCTGCCGGAAATGTATCCAACTATAAGTTAACTTAAAGCTGATTAGGAAGGAACTAAAGGTCAATATTATCTCTATATATTCTTTCAGGAAAGCTTACTATATTTCTATGGCGATGGCTGCGAAATAGTCAAGGGTGGTTATCTCTGCATTAGATGTCAACTAACTTGTAACTGACTACTTTTGGACATACAATATCAATAAGAAAAAACAAAAATTTGTATTTCATTTGTTTACTTGCTATTTTTATTTGCTTTATTTTATTAACCGACTTTAAAAAAGGAGTAGGTTATCAATTTGTATGTACATATGTTACCGCATAACTTTGGACCACGTTAAGCGATTTCTATGCTTCTTTTTTCAAAGGAAAGGTGGTCCCATACTAATTTGGTTTAGAACCGATCATTGGACCATGAAGAAATTAACGGTACTCTTAAACTTTTATATTAGAATTACATATTTGTTTACACATAATTTGTTATAGGTGATCCCATATTCGAACTCCGACAGAAATAACATCAAAATGATAATATAAAATTTCGATCTTCCTTTTATTTGTCCTGAATTCGAAAAAGTATTTGTGAAGTGCAGAAAAAAAGTGTATTCAAAGTAAAAATTTTATGAAGATATTTAAATAGAAACTAGTTTAAAGAACACAAGCTCACGATTACGTCTGCATTAGTTTTCAACTAGTTTCAAGTTAACGTTTTATAGCTAACTACAATTATTATATATTTTATAGAAATCAAACAAAAAATCTAACTGCAAGTGGGTCATTTTCTATCAATTGATCATTCTTTTCCTGCAGGGTATATGCATATGTATGTATTAATAGACACATTTGTAACGTCGCTCAGCCCATGAGGCCTGGTGGGGTAACCTTTGAGAACGGCGAAGAAAAAAAGTATTTAAAAAAATAGAAAAATATCAAGAAGAAGAAGATAAAATAGAAGCGGCGAGTTAATAAACTGCAGTCGGGGGCAAACAATGTATGGGGCTAATTCAAATATTTTTGTACGCAAACGAGTTGGTGTAGGCATCCAAGTTATAGACAGGGCCACAGCCATAGCCACACGCGTTCACGGCCCTGCCGAGGCAACCAGATGAAATATGCATACATACTTACATATGAACATAATAATAAGCTCAAAACGAGACTACTAATAAAATTTTATGAGAGAAAAGTCGCGTGAGCAAATGTCTACTACCTACTTGAGTTTTTGGCAGATCGGCGATCAGTTGTTATTTTTGGAATTTTTCGCTCTGTTGTGAGTGTTCTTTAGAGAATTGTCTAAGAGTATTAAGATAATTAGCGAACTTGAGTGCAATTATGAGGAGTAAAAAGGCAGAAAAGAGTAACATGATTTGAGTGGACATACATATACATACATACTTATGCAAGTACGTTACTGTACACATGTTTGTATGTATGGTGCATGGCAAAAGAATGGAAGGTCAAAAACAAATTCCATAAAACTTATTCAAAAATATATGAAACAAGTAATTTTTAAGTAAAAAAAAAAACCGACTTCAAGTCTCATACACAAATTGAAGAGTACCGTTAATTTCTTCATGATCCATTGATCAGATCTAAACCAAAATTAGTATGGGACCACCTCTGAGGTACCACCTTTCCTATAAAAAACGAATTATAGAAATCGGCTAACGTAGTCCAAAGTTAAGCGGTAACATACATAAAAAAAATATTACGACGAATTGATAACCTCCTCTTTTATGAAGTCGGTTAAAGTATGTAATAGTGATATACAAAAAAACTATAGATCTCTTTTGTAAATGATTTCCTTTTGATGCTCAAGAAATTTACAAAAACTCGAAGGCCAATCGTTAGCGGAGGGTACTTTCATAAAACTCGGCCACGTCAAATCGGACATTATCATCCGATTAGTTATTAGACATACAGAAATCATGTTCCCAAACCATCCGGGATTAGATAAGACCATTTTCACCGAGCTTTAAGAAGCGTCTGACATTTTATTTACATGGCTATGGAGCTAGTCTTGACTCGGCCTACATTCCCAACAAATGAAGTGCTCTTCATTCCAAAAGGCAGCCGTTCCTGCCAGCGGAAACGCAATGATTTTCGACCATCAATCTTACACTTTTTTTTCCAAAAGCAATAATACATCTGTCCAGATGAAGACCCCATTAAGCTATCAAAGTATCAGCATGCCCTATGAACACAGCGCTTCACCATATAGTCGCTCAAAGTAATAAAGTTCTATCCTTCAAGAAACTTGCCTTAGACGAGTCTCTAGGCCCTGAAAGTGCCGTTCACTAATTTCAGCTCCACTCCATGGTCATGAAGAAAGTTCTAGGAATGCTATTACATAATACCCTATACGCGTGAAAGTCCGCCATAGCTAATTGATGGAGACGCAAATTAAAGACAGTACACTGCGTTGAGAAAATAGCTTTTTGTAACTATAACCAACCCATATGTTTCATTAACGTTAGTGCAAAGGGCTTCGATCATGCTTATTTCGGTATCGCTGCACTATCACCATCTAGAACTCATGATAAATATTCTCCTTGATCAGACAAAATGACAATGGTGGCACCATCATTCAAAAATTCTGCTCAAAAACTGTTAGGCGTCTACTTATTAGCCTATTACCATTGCTATCATTTCGACAAACGGATTTCTTCAGAGAAGGAATGTTCGAAAACGGTCCTTCAAGCTCCGCTTCGTTGTAAATTGACAGCTCTAGGCTAATTCATAAAGCGGGAAGTGATGTACAATTACGAGGGCTGTCAGTAAAGCTAAGATTCTGTTTGCTTTATCTTTATGGCATGTTTTAGATATGAAGAAAATCCCGCTATGATTGATTGAAACAAATCTTGTTCCGCAGGCGGTAAGGCTTAATAACTTTTTTTTTATAATAGCTCAACACATCTGGCCAAGACTGGACAAGGACAAAGAGGTACAGGGCTACTTGTGGGGTCAACATTGGCCATTGGTAAGTCCGAAATACAATTTCCCTTCGCACAAAAAAGTTTTGAGAATTGCTCGAATTCAGTACTTCCCCCAATTTTTGGTGGCCTCCAAATGGCGCTCGTTACCTGCTCGAATACTCGTAAGTCACCGTAACTTGGAAATGAATCACCCGAAAAAAGCACAACTGTTAACAGAAAACCCATTGCATAGAGTGCGCTCAAAGCACGGAAAATAAATTACTCAAACGCGCGCAGCACTCAAATTATTTCGCTGCCCGTTAGTGCCTCTTCGGCGCTCGATTGAGTCTGCTTCTACGCTCACAGCCGCAGTTGTACGTCACTCACATAGTCGGCACACAATCAATGACTTGTTTGCCTGTTCGTATCTAAAAACAACACACCGCAACAGCCATCAGAACCTCCAAAAAAATACGTGCCGCCTTCGCCGCCACCGCAGCCACGTCATAACGCCCCTGCACGCCGTTGATCTTCGCTCACCCACTCTACGTTGGCATACAATTCGCGCATCCGGCAGGCAGCCAAGCAAGCAGACAGACAGACGGACACACGTTCCGTTCCGTTGGTCGATCGTATATTTGGTCGTGTGGCTGCGCTTGCCTTAGCACCTCCGTCGTGCGGTCGTGCCTCACCTCTGATCTCTGCGCCGCTGACGCCGAACTTTACCTGTTTGCAGTGCGCCACCGCATAGCCATTCGAATGTCGCCTGCGCCCTCGCCTTTGCCATTACCGTAGATCCCCGGCACAACGCTGCGGCACAGTGATTTAGCCAACGAACCTGTCGATCAAGCGTCAGTCGTTCGCTGAGTGCCAAACGATAAACAACAAACATTGAGTCGACCACCACTACCAACCGCCTCGCTGACGTTGTAATCAGCTCCTAAAAATTCCGCAACACAGATACGAAGCACACAAATAGAACCCAAACGCGCAGCGAAAATACCCAGCAACCGAATCAACGCGCGCAGGCAGCGAACAGCAGGCAAACCAAGCAAGCAACAATCAGCCAGCCAGCCAGCAGAGGTAGCAATCGATCGACTCTGGGCCGAACGACCAGTTGACGAGTCTTTTAATCGCGGTGCCACTAGAACATTGAGTTCATTTGCTGAACGAACGTCGAAGTGAGCAGAAGACTTGGTCGGAAGTAGCGCACGCGTTTAAGTCTATAAAAGTCAAAAGAAAATTACGTTGCGAGTGAACGGAAGACATTATCGAACGGAAAAACCTCGTATTAAACGAAAGTGAATTAAGTTCGAGCTCGCTTAAAAAAAAATAAAATAAAGTGGTGAAAAATATCAGAGAAAAAATTAAAAAGACGTGAACTTCTAAAGAAGAAAGTGAGAATAAAATTTGCAGAACATCAGAACATTCAATTAATTGTAAATGTGTATGCTATAAATAAATATATGTAAATGCACAACTGAACAAAGAAACTGAAAATAAAAACACTGAAAAGCTTTAAAAATTCGTGAAAAATAAATTGCGTTTTGTGATTTTTACAATTAAAATGGTAACTGGAGTAGCTGACCCAAGCATGACAGCCAACGTTATTGGAGCTCCGGTTGCGCCAACGCTCAAAGATGCACCAACCGTCAAAAGCGATCGTCGGGTAAGTTGTTCAAAAACAAATATTACAAACAAAGCCATCCATCATCTGGCCAATGAAAAATTAAGCTGTTGCGCATTTTAACAAAAATTTGCGAAATTTCGTTACTCGCTGCCTTACACCCACCTGCAACCACTCACTGGACACTGGTCATTGCTTGCCATTTCAGGCAAGCGATGCTTCGACAACACAATTTGTCCCCCACTCACACGCTGCACGCACGCACGCCACGCCACGCTCCATTGAAATTGCCCACATTCGAGTGTCTGTTATGTCTATATGTAGCGCTAGTTTGCCCCAAATCCAAATCCGGCGCGCGGCCTACAACCACGCTCTGTTACCGTTGCGACTTAAACGGCGCGACGTGCATAGTTGTGGCTTTTTACGATTTCATTCACAATACGCCAGCTGTTGGCTGTTATTGTTGTCGCGTCGACTTTTTGTGGGTGACGACTGTTTGCATTTGGCGTGAGCGGTTGGTTGGTTGGTGCGCGTTGTTCCCAGTTTTGGGAAAGCCAAGTGCCACCAGCAACTGACTCGTGAAGCTCAGTCAACGCTGCTGCGCCGTGTAAGGCATCCAAAGCATCCAACGCAAACAAAGCCTACGGTGCTCGCACCAAATTGGCTTGCGGTCGGACGCCAACTGCTAACTACTTTTCCTACGCGCTTTAGCCGGCGACTGGGCCACCACTCATTCATCCCATAACGGCTGCAGCGCAACGTAATTGGAACTTTTGATGACTTCACTTGTGATGACGCGGTACGGTGCGCCCGCCCGTGCGCGAATTATTGGCCGTCTTGGAATTTATTGACTTTTTTTGGACAGTTGTCTTGTGTGGCTCAAGTGGCTGCAGCGGACGCCGACTCCTTCCATTTGGTAGGTTGGCTAAAGTCTGCCGCGTGTGTGTGGGGGAAAATTCGCCGCCGATGGCACGAAGACAATTTAGTAGTGGCAGAATTTCGAGGAATATTAGTCACTGAATCACACAGGGCAACAAAATCAAGAAAAGTGCTCGAACGGATCAGTTAACAATTTTTCTTGGATTAAAACTTGCTTGGACTAAAAACTTTCAAACCCAGCTAAGCAACTCTAAGTTTAAAAATGGATTTAAAAAGAAGAAATTCCAAGTTTTTGAGATAATAAAGTTTAGTAAATATTTGAAGGTCATGGCTTTTTATAATGCCTAACAAAATTAAAATGCCTATAGGAGCAAAAAAAGTGGAACTTCACAATTTCTTTAAAAAATTCTTTATATTTTCAATGTCTTGGTAACTTTAACATTTCTAAAAAAAGTGAAAATAGTTTTAATTTTAAATTAATATTAATGTCTGAAACTGCCTGTCTGAAACAAAAATTGTTCACCCTACGAAGCCTTTTAAAGAACGTTCTTTATGATTTAGTTGAGAATTTCGGAGCGTTGAAAAATTTCGAGCGTAATTTCATTGCAAACAACTAACACAATTCGCTTTCTCAAGCGACCTTGTAGGCATTAGGCTTGTTGCCTAGTGGTCATACAAATGACTTAACGACGTCGCATGCCTGAACGTGTGCGTATTTTTAGTATTTTCAAACAATTCGGCGCTATTTTCGACCATTTCTCGAATTGGTCAGCCTCACATATGGCGGCGCGCCGCCACACAATTCGAGTCTACAATAACAACTCGCCGTTTGCCGCAATGCTTTCATTAAACCACTACAAATTTCTTTTATTATTGTTGTTTGCGCGTTTTTGGCACTTAATGACACTTATCGCCACCACCAACCGACCAACCGACCGGCCGTTAACCAGGTGTCGGAGGGGTAATGGCGTTGGTGTTTGCGGTGGCGACGCGCCAATACGCTAAGAATTTTATTACGGACGTGCAGGCGGTTTATTTTTAGTCGCCAACACACTCATTCCACTTAAAATAACGCACGCGATTGTCGGCACCTCAGCGCTTCACCGCCGCACCGCTGCTTGTTGGCCAAGTGCCATAATTGCTTGTATATCCAATTGAGGCGCGAGCGTGCGCCGCCGTCAATGGCATTAATGGCAGCAGCGCTGCCGCAGCTTTACAGCCACATGCCAAAACGACTCGCGGGCGAGCACTCGCGGTGGAGGTGATTTCAATAGCGACGACGCTGAGGGCCATTCTACGTTGCATTGTTCACGCGCGGTGGGCGGTGTTAGGCGGCTGTGTGCGCTCATCGATCTATTTTGGGTTTGGAAAGTGCATTGCATTCAAACTGCAAATCAATGCTCTGAATCAGCACTCCACAGAAGTAATAAAAATTTTGTTTTTGCTCTGTTTCTTGCAGTCAAATAAACCAATTATGGAAAAACGCCGACGCGCTCGCATCAACAACTGCCTAAATGAGCTGAAAACACTGATTCTGGACGCGACCAAAAAAGACGTAAGTATACTTTAAAAAAACACCTACTAGTATACCTTCGACTGCCATTTCATTATTTTCACTGCGATACTTTGCACTCTTCCACAACATCCTCCCCCAACACCTTTGCTCAAATTGATTTTAAAGCATGCTTCGTTTTTTTCTTGCTTATCTGCAGCCCGCGCGTCACTCAAAACTAGAAAAGCTCGACATTCTGGAGAAGACTGTGAAGCATCTGCAAGAACTGCAGCGCCAACAGGCGGCTATGCAGCAAGCCTGCCGACCCTAAGGTCATCAATAAATTCAAGGCCGGTTTCGCTGATTGTGCCAACGAGGTCAGCCGCTTCCCTGGTCTGGATCCCGCAGTGAAACGTCGCCTGCTTCAGCACCTCAGCAACTGCATTAACGGCGTTAAGTCCGAGCTGCACCAGCACCAGCGGCAAATGGCAAGCGCTCCATCCCAGATGCTGCCCTCACCGCCCAGCTCGCCCGAACAGGATCAGCACCATCTGCAGCATCAACATGTCGCTGCTGCTGCCACCGCTGGTAATCCCTTCCTACTTGGGCGCGCAGTTGCAGCACACAATGAACGGCTATTTCCTGCCCAATGGCCTGCAAGTGATCCCCACCAAACTTCCCAATGGCAACATAGCGCTGGTGTTGCCGCAACATCAGCAGCACCACCACCAACAGCAGGCGCAGCAGCACACAACAACACATATGCAGCACCAACAGTTGAGCGCAGCTCAAGCCCGCCGCCGCCGCCGCTCTAATGACCATGCCCACCCGCACCGCCTCCACCAGCTCTGCCTCTTCGCACAGCTCATCCGTTTATGAGCGCACCATCTGTTCGCCGGCCAACAGTGTGACGCACTACGCACCCCCCAGCCCCGCCAACTCGTACGAGGCCATGGACTGCAAACCCTCGGTCATTCAACACGCGCCAACCTTTCCCAACAACAACAACATCTGCAGCAGCAGCAACAGCAGCAACAGCAAAATCCAGCAACCGCTCTCCCTGGTAATCAAGAAGGACATTAAAGTGGAGGATGAACAGCCTTGGCGGCCATGGTGAAGAGGCTGGCGCCAGCCGCGCGCGCGCACCCACCAAAAGAACTGGTCAACGCCCCCTTTCCATAGAAACGAGGGGCAGACGTGATGAATACCAAAGCTAGGAGAGCTGACAATAGCTGGCGGCGGCAGGCGGTTGCGTTCGCCAGCAGATGGTGGCGTGGAATGCATTGGGATGTCTGGCGTAAAAGTCAACGGCACCCACAAAGTTTATTCGGACTAATTTCGCGCACTTCCTTAGTGTAAATGACGTTGAAGTTGAAAATATCCGCATCCGTTGGCAGATCGCGCGCGCCACCTCAGCATCGACCATCACACAGGCAGCAAAGCAGCCACTGGGTGTGACGCACGTGTTCCGCCGGCTGAGCACACGCCGATATGCATCCAGAAATACCAACATCGGAATGATTCAAGCACGAAAGCATTGGCAAAGCATTGATCGACAGCACTTAAGTGACTTAGTAAGTAACCACTACCTCAGCAATACAGGGGCGATTTTGCGGTTTGTCGCGCCTCAGGGGCGCTTCATTTGAATTTCTCAGCTATCTCATTGGAGTATTACAATTAGAATAACTAATATTGACGTATCGTCGGTGTATTTAGTCATTAATTATTTATAATTTCAAATGAAAAATGCAAATGATTTATGGTTTGCAATACACATTGCTTCATTTATTAGCAATTTTATTTTTTCCATTTTCCAATTTAATTGTACATTTCGTATATAGATACATTGTGCGCGAACCATACCATGAATACCAAAATATTTGTGTGAACGCCTATTTATCTGTATAAATAGTGCAAGTATGTATTTAGAATTGCAGAATAACAACAACAACAGATGTTAAAAAAAAAAACAATCGAAAACAATAAAATCTTTGAGGTCTTCCCAATTTGTAGAGTATGTAACTTGTACTTGTGTACTTATTTACATACATGCATATGTAAATATATTTAAATATTTAATATGTATACATACATATGTAATAATTTTTTAGTCATAAAATTAGAAATAATTATTTATCTAGTTTGTAAAATTTAAAACTTTCCAAAAAATGAAAAAAATACCAGAAAGAAAACAAACATAAAATAATAAAATACAAAATTATTAACGGTAACGTAACATATTTCAGGCATTTTAATTTGGTAAACGAAAATCTCGTCGATAGTGGTATACAAGTAACGGGTAAGTAGAAACCAAAATGGTCAGCAATATTTAGTAGTTAGTATAGGCAATTTATAGTTGAAAATTGATTATCCGTCGATTTTTAATTGTGGTCAATTAGATTGTGGAATAGCCAGTTCCGTACCTCAATTAAAATATTGCCAAACGATAGTTGGCGTTACCCAAAAATTTTATTTCACAATTTAAAAATATTCAAAAGTTTAGTCACGCGATCTGTGTCCCTTATTTCATCTAAATCCGTCCGAAAAGCGTCGCATGGTTTGGTTTCTCTAGCTGCTTAATTTTAACAAAGGGGCCCTTANTGGAAAAAAGGGTACTTGGAAAAAGTTGGGCCCGCCTCTCGCTTTCTGCAGTCTCAAGATTAGGCAGTTATTCTTAAGAGAAGCACGTACAAATTGGGAACACCCGAGCTCTTTTGGCCAGAATGGGACATGAGAATATCGCACCATTCCGACGCGCTAATAAGGAGGGAGAATATCGTTAGACAGGTAACTATTTACAGGTCGCATGCTTTCAGGGAGACACGCGGAGTAGTAAGCAGTACTCTACATTGTTTTTTGTAGAAGTCGAATTGATGAAGAAGATCCTGAAACAGGGCATCTAGATATTCTGTTACAATACCAATACACAGACCACAACTTATCAAAAATGTAAGTGCCAAGTATTTTTTGTTTTTACGTCAAAGGCGATTACTAACATTAGTTGAATCCACGAACTACATAGTTCAAAGAGAAGTAGAGGTTTCGACATCTCTGTAGTAGCGCTTTGTGTTGGATAAGCTTCTCCTGCAATTTGTAGTATGAACACAAGCGAAGGGTTTAACTTCAAACCAGGTTGTTCGTCCGGGTGACAATAAAAAAAAACGGACTATGAAGTGTGTGATCCCTCTTCCCCCTCCCCCGTTTCATCCCCTCGCTAAACGAAAAGTATCCGGTTTTTCAAAAACCGGACACCTGGCAACCCTGCCTCAAGCAGTCATGGCAGAATGTAGATAATTCCATCGCATCAAAAGTGAGACGGCCACTAAACTTAAATAAATTTAAATTTGAGTGTATATTCACTTTTCTTCTGTTTTTGTTTTCGTTCTTAAAGTTATTCATCTGGTGTTGTTTTCTGACGTTCCAAGTGGCCGCGAACTGTTACCTTCTTGAGCTTTAAAACAAAAAAAAAAAGTTAAAAAAATTCATATGTATGAACAAAAATACATATATATATGTATATATCTGTAATTTTTAGCGCACAATGCAGACACATGTACATAAATATAAGTACATTTGTACGTATACGTATGTATATTAGGGTGCCCATCGAATTTTTTTTGTTTAATTTCAAGACCCTACCCCCTAATTTCCTTCCTTTTTATGAGAAATATTATTGCCTATTTTTACAGATTTTTTAAAAATCATTAAGAGGTCGCGACTTATCATTTTAGTTAAAGAATACGGTTTTTTGATTTATCAGTGTTTGAATGATTATTTTTCCTTCGATTTTAAAGAACGAACAGGTTGTGAGAAAAGGATTTATATGCCTCAAAAGTGATGTATAATAATATATTGTGGGGGAAAAAAACACAATTTTTTCATAATTATTAAAATTTTGACTACCACTTATTTCCACAATTTCAAAATATGGTTTTTTTCAAAAAATTTTAAGAAAAGGGGGGTGGCACCGCCCACTAATATCATATATGAGTATCTCAAAAACTACTTCATCGATCGTGACCAAATTTGGCATACACATTGCCATTAGCCTTATACATAGTCTAGAAAACTTTTGAAATCGGACAAAAATCAGGGGCTCCACCCACGTAACGGTAATTTCAAAAAACTCAAAGCTAGATATATTTCAAGATGTTGCTTAAAAAGCCTAAGCGCAATTTGTATACCAAATTTGATCGAGATCGTTGGAGTAGTTTTTCAGATATACATATATAATATAAGCGGGCGATTTTCCATTTTAAAAATTTATTTGAAAAACCAATATTTTTCTAAAGAGGCATTGTATGTACCAATTTTGAATTATTATTCGATTGCAACAAATGGGGTATCAGTTTATTTGAAAATAAATTTAATTTTCGATAATACAACATATTGTGAAATTGTGGAAATTAGCGGCCTTTAAGATCTAATAAAAAGTAGTCATGAAAAAACTGATGAATCTCCAAAACCGTATTTTTTTACCTAAAATGAGAAGTGGCGACCTCTAAATGATTTTTAAAAAATCTATAAAAATAAGCAATAAAATTTCTCATACAAAGGAAGTAAATTAGGGGACAGGGTCTTGAAATTTAAAAAAAAAAAAATCGATGGGCACCCTAATGTATATGTATCTACATTTGAATAAAACAAATGTCAAAAACGCTCTGCAATCGAGAATAAATTGCAGCGAGACGAGGCCTGTATGGTGGTCGCATTGAAGCGTGCGTTCTTTTGAATTGCGTTTTTTTTTTCCTGTTGCTAATGGTGGTTTTGGTGGTGGTTTGGTCGCGGTCGCAGTCGTAGTCGGCGGTCTCGGTGTGTCGCTTCGCAACGCCTAGTTTAAGCCAAGTTCATTAACTGACATTCCAAGCTAATATCGCAATTTGAGTTCACGCGCGTGTGCCACCGCCGTTGCCAAAGTCACAGTCACAGTCGCAGTCGCAGTCGCAGTCGAAGCCTAAGCCGAAGCCGGTACTACATTTTTAAAAACACTCATTTAACAAGACAATTAAATGTTTCAATGCCGCGCGTCTCTATGCCGCCATGACCAATACAATGCAACAATTCGCATCAGCGACGTCGAAGCGTGAATCCGAGCATTTAAAATTCAAATTACAATTAAAAATATGAAATTTATTCGAATCACGTTTTAGACGACTTTGCCGGCTTTTAGCCATTTATAGTATATGTATTATTATACATATCTACATGTAATACACTCGAAGAGGCTTGACATCCCAATATGCACAAAGCAAACATTTTTCCAACTTTTACATTTTTCCCAAGGTTTGACTAAAAGTTGATTAAAGTTAGAATTCAAATTGATAACCGAGCTTTTCTCAACTCGATAACTCAGATTATTGATATTGCATGCAAAAAATGTGCTCGTTTGTTAGAGAATGGGTTGGTTATCCAATTGAGGTACACTTGAAAATCAACCTTGGAATTTGTATTGGATCTCCACTTGATCATCAATCCAAATGTTTATTGGGATTGCTTGCCAAGAGGCGACCGAAGCAGGAGCCGACCCTGGGTGCTATAGAGTGATAATAAGAACCTCTAGCTACGGCTACTGCGGCTACGGCCTGCGGCTAAACTAGAGCTCTTATTAAAAATCGACTAACCGCTTATTCGATTAGTCGATTAACAACTTTTTGTCGGTTAATAGTCAAATAGTAGATGTTCGATTAACCGTTCACTTTCGACTAATCACTCACCATTGGGTAGTCTAGAAAATGACTAACCGAAATTATTCGAATGTTGACAGTTGGATTTTGTTAATAAGGTTAAGTATTCAAAAGATATGCATATTGGTCACCTGAGCATCAATTATTTATGGCCGTTTTTACAGTGGAGAGTTAATTCAGATTCAGCAGGGAACGATAGATTTTCAGTTCAAATAGAATGTTAGTTAACTACGCGCTGTAAAAACTGATCCTTAATAGGACTCATATAATCTCAGTTAAGGAGACAAACAACAGCTTAAATGCGAACGACCTCGCAGGCACGTCAGAAATCGTTTCTGGGGATCCTAGAGACCTACACCATCCACTAAACCATTACTGGAAAGTCAATCAACTTCTTCATGAACTCTTCTGAATGCCGCCATCAGAGCCTAAACACGGCTAAACGCAAACTGAGAGCTCGAAGTACCTTGTGGAACTCGCACAATTTTGACACAGCTCCGTTTTGGGCATTGTTGTGAGCTGGGTTGCCACTATGGTAATTGTTAAATGAAAAAAAAACGCAACATTTTTAAAAATCAACGGG